GCATAAGCACGTTTAGTCAGAGTGAAAGAATTAAATTCTATAAGTTCTTTACGGACGATAACAAGAGTTTTATTTTATATAATAGCATGTCAAGAATTGGATTGAACAATATCTAGGAGTAAGATTAACTTTGTCAAAGCTTCTAAATATTACTAATGAGGAATTCGATAAAGCTCTTGATATTGTCCGTAAAGAACTTATAGAATTTAATTCTTTCACTCTGACTAAACGTGCTTATGCTCAAAAAATTGAAACCAGATCACAAAATTGTGCGATGATGTAATAAGATTTTATTTCCAACCTTTTTTTAACAGAACATGTATTGCAACCAATTGAATTTGTCAAAGTCTATAAATTTTCCGGTTGATTAAAATTAAGCCAGAAATATTACTTTTTTTAAAGATAATTTAGAACCCATATATATGCCTTTCACGAAGTTTTCACAGTTTCAAACATTTTTAAGGCAAAGACATTTGCCATTTTTTTTAACAGGGTCCAAAATTTTTTTTTAATCGGCTTTAACTATTTTCTTCGTTGCGATTTTTAAAAAAGAAATGTAAAAAATATGTATTACAGTATATAGGTTAGGGATGATAAATGACTCAAATGACTTGCGACAACTCACGGGTCATTTCAAAGACAAAATGACCTGATAGGTCCTTTGCCGGAGACGGCATAATGGGTTTTCATGGTGATCGCCAATTTACAAGTAATATCATTTTAAACTTTAATTAAATCATCACAAATAAAAAAAAACTTATTATGTATAAAAATAACTATAACTGTGATTAAATTAATATTGGCAGAAGGCTACCCGATAACTTTTAATCTAAAATTATAATATTGTCAAAAACAAAATTCCGACAAACCAAAATTTTATTAAAGGAAGGGAACGCTTGAAGAAGCGTGACGTCTTATATCTCATTTCTATATCATCACATTTATATTTTTACATGCGCTAATAACGTATTCTGCAGGTATTACAAACCGTAATACAAACCCATCCTTAACCATAAGGTAGCTGCGCAACGCAGTTGCGCTAGAAACCAGGAACGAAAATAAAAATACTGTTGGCCTTCTCAAAACCA